CAAAATTATTAGGATGGTTATTAAGATACGAATATGGCACAGCTATACTCAGCACTAGAAAAACACTCACTCATTTTCTTTCTTCCTTCTCTCGATTTGTTAATTGGGTCATCGAAGTATATCAAATTTCGAATAAATGTCTATTTTTAAAAGAAAAACTCTAATTGTTGGGTATTCGATTTAATATGAGCGTGAATCAGATTTAGAATAGTTTTTTTTCACATCTTCTCTGCACTTTCAACTCAGTCAATTCAGTTTGGAAAGTTAATTTTGTGTCCAAACAACTGAATTTTTTTTTTTTCTCGGAATTTGAAAGCAATGAAAACAATAATAAGAGAAGGACAACCTCTTTCAATGGAATATATTTGAATTGTTATGAAAATGTAAATATTCGGAACGTTATTTTCTTTGCCCTTTTGTTGTAGACTTTGAGACTTCATCACCCATGAAATAATCACGACGATAACTTATTTTCGAACAAACAATTCAAATTATCATATTGTTACGCAGTATGGTTCTTTGCGCATATATTTATATGCTAAATCATGAGAATATTTCAATTGATAGCATTTGCATTGAACGATAAAAAAATGGAGCGGTTTCGATGTTGTTCAGTGTATTTTGGGTGGTACAAAAGTAATTTCATGTAAGAAAAAGAGAAACAGTTAGTCGAATATAAAACACAGACAATGGATACGATTGAAAACAGACGCCAATAGGAACATTGAGTGTAAAACTTTTGTCACCTGGCCGCCTGAATTATTATCCATCCAACGAACCAAACATCTCAAGTTGAGATTCACAACAATCACCCGAAAAAAATAACGACCGAATCGAAAAGCCAAAATATGCGCATCATGGCTGGCTTCGACAAATACAAATGGTACGCGACAGGACTGAAAATGCTGAGAGCACGTCTGACATAAGAATGATTGCGACGACGACGACGATGACAACAACGAGTAGAGTTTGTGAGTTTCGTTTTTTTCCACTCTCATTGTTGACTGAGTGCATTTAAATAAATGGCAGATCTTCGGTCAACACAAAATGTTTCCATCGTTCCAGCTTTGGCTGAGACAAAAATCCGCCGTCATCACTTTATATAAAGAGTAAATTATTTATTTTAGAGATTGACATAATAGCCACTTGTTATAATAGCGTACTATATTATTTTGAGTAACATGTTTATGTTGCTGCTGCTGCTGCTGCTTCTGCTGTTTTTTTTACCATTGCATTCAGACATTTTGCATTATTTATCCATTTCAACACATGTTTTATGATAATAGCAGAGAAATGTTCTAGTAAAAACTCAAATATTGTACATAATTGTTGTCATTTGCATTTGAGCCATGTCCATGTTTTTTTACTCATCTTTTTCATTTCGTGTGAATGAGATAAGTACTTAACAATGAACGCATTGGAATCATAACGATTTTGAATGGATCAATTAAAAAAAAAGTAACAAACAATTCTCTGAATTGCGTGTGTTTGTTTACAACATGCTCTCATCGCTTATGCTTCGCTCCACTTATGTCCTATTAAGAAAAACGTGTGGAACAAATTTAATTAGTCGATTGAATGGGCCAAATGTTAAATTCATTGAGTTCAATGCGTAAATATTTGTCTCAATCCATGCACACACACACACATACACACACAACGAGCGATAATGAGAGGGGAACAAGCATTCGCAACCTTCTGAGAATTTTTTTTCTCGATTAATCCATCTCCATTCTCGATTGATTACAATGATAATTTTGTTGTCTTCTTTTTCATTTTCTATTTTGTTTCGTTTCAGCATGGATTCTTGGTAATATAATGTGCAAAGTTGTACCATACATACAAGGGGTATCTGTTGCTGCATCTGTTTATAGTTTATGTGCTGTATCCATTGACAGGTACGTACTTTCTCTATCTCAATCTATGTATATCAATTGTTATCTTGAAAAAAAATCGGGATCGGTTTTTGTACGGCATCAATTGAGGTCGTACAAGAGCCAACATATTTTTATTTCTCATACACGTGCCCACACCATCACTGGTGTGGAAAGTGCTTGCAGATTATATTATTATTATATTATCCATTATCGTTGTATAATCGAAATTAATCAAAAAATTGAAGCGACACGCAACGAAGAGAGAATTGAACCTTTCCAGCTTGAATACTTGCCGAAAATGCGAAGGCTGACGTCATAGGGCTTCTTCTTTTGATATCGCATTAGTCGATTAGAAAGAAGAGCCATGCAACATTCATCCACCGATTCAATGTTCGAATTCCGCCTACGCGGATGCTGCCATTATCAGTGTTTGTTCAACTGGTTTCAAATGGAGACGACAACCCTCCGACAACTTGCCAAACCACAACCCATACCTTAAGTTGGCAATTAATTAGAATCGATTTACACATTACTTCGGAGTTCGGTGACAATAATTTCTTAATCCATCCATTAAATCAACAAAACTAGTTGATCTGTTTCATGAGGTCGTGGACAAATCGACAGTGTGTCGCTCTCTGCCTCTGTGTCTGCTGCCAGAAAATGCTGACCAATCACAATGGCTTGATGCCGGGTGCAGGAACTTATCCATTAGTCACATTCGATAAACTTTTATCGATATATTCGGGAAAAAAATGGTTGTTCTGTTCGCACACGACCACATCTTTCGGTCGCTCTGCCGATAACATTATGAATGTCAAAATCGATTGGCATTTTTGCTTACGAAATCTTTGGCATGAAAACGAATTGTACCAGAGTAGAGTAGACTACCAAATCATACAACTTATCAGTTATTGTCGCTTCTGAAGTTTATTTTTTGTCGTAGTATAATTTAGCTTTGGGCAAATGTCAAGTGTTTTTTTTTCTACCCATTTGAGAAACAATCTGCCGGGAAAATATGTTTTTGAGTTAAAGAAAAGCGTTCGATGGTTACACTTTCCGGTAGAAGATCAAATAAAGATAAAAATGGAAAGCGCCAGACCAAAAATGGTAAAACATTAAACCAACGATTATGACATCATACCGTGCATTGGAACCTTTGAGATGAACCATTTACCTGCGACCGGAATACTTGAATTTCCAATACAACGACGGTGATTAAGATCACTGATCGGCTGGTTGGTAAATGCTTCTGTTTTGTAGAATTTTAATTTATCTCAACGAAATTTCATACTTCACCAAATGGCTCGACCGCGGACGCGTTTCATAATTTATGCGAAAAAGGAGCCGAAAGCACCGATGCGAGAAACTGAAGCGAATTCCAATGTAATTTTTACACGAAATGTACACACACACACACACACACAAAGTTCAGTTCATGACATGCAAAGTTCATTTGCTTCACATGCACACCCGACACTTCGACATACACAGAAAAAAAAAATAAGAATCACTTTGAATATGGCTGATTGATTGACACGTAAGCGTTGTTGAATTTCGAATTTTCATTTCTTCTCCCATTTACGAGTTTTAAATGTACATTTATGAAAAATTTGTTTATACACCCGAAGACATTTATCACTTAACCAGTTTTTTTTTCCTTTGTTATGGTGCCAACAAATTGGGTCATGCAATGTGAACGAAGGGAAAAAAAACGCGAGAGAGTAGCAAAAAGCAAAGTAAAGCATTTCATATGAACACATCAATTAAAGCAATAATAACATCGAGACTTGAAATATTATTGTGAATAACAATTTGTTCAGCGAAAAGAATTGCAGTGGAGTGGTGAAGGTGTCGAATCAAATACAAACGTGCCAATGGCTGTGTGTGTTGAATAAATGCTCTTTTGATGGCCATACACAACAAATCGAGCAACCCAAAAAAAAGCCATTAAGCCGGATCGCGATTTTTTGCATTGGCTGTATGTCACATCGCTTGTGTATGACTATACAAAAATTCTGCTTGTAATCACACTTGATCCGTTTTATTTTTTTTACTTTCTCAATCACTTACTCTCTCTTCGCTTGTCTTCGATTCATTGCTGTTTTTTTTTCTTCAATCTCTGCTCCAACTGCATACATTTTTTCAATAGACATTTCGAACGCGGACATCATTTTGTGTGTTCATTTATGTGCGTTACACCTAAATCAATCGTTCGCCAGAGTCGTAAGTAATTTTACCAATTTAATATTTACAATTTCATCTGATATTTGCATTGTTTGATGGCGAAGGACAAGAAATCTTTTAACCGGGATTTCATGTTATGGCGTTACGTTTACGGTAACAGCACATCGTCACAATAGGATCTGCAACAATGAAATGAAATAATGGAAAAAAACCGACGAGTCAACAATTGAAACGAATAAAATGATTGGTTTATGTGCTACTGTTGGTACCACTTTTTTTTACATGGGAAACGAAAGGCTTACATCGAAATTTTTGGATTGAATAGTACTCTTCAATCTGTTCTAATCACTTAAGGTAATCCAGAAATGAGTTTTACAAAATAGAAAGCAAAAATTGCGCATAAATATCATGGAAACCTTAAGAATCCATTACGTTGATGCCGTTTTCCACATTTTCAGAATCGGATTCAATCAGCCTATCAGTTTCAGCAAAAAAGAAAGAAAGAAGAAATGAAGAAAAAAAAACACACGAATATTACATTTTAAGTGAAGAAAATGGTGAAAAGTCAAGTGATTGCGTTGATGTTGTCGATTTTCAATGTAGAAATTTTCAATTCATTTTCTTCTATTGTCGTCGAAGGCCTTCCAAAGTAAACCAGGTAATGAGATTTCGCGTGATGCAACAAACTGCTATTTTCTAGCTTTATTCCCTCTCTTTTTCCCTCTCCTTCTCATCCATTCGTCACTTTCTTTTTCACTCCCTCTCCGATTTCTCTGAGACAAATTTATTTATTTTCCATCGCAAATTTCCAGAGAATAGACGAAGAAGAAAAAAAAGTCAGAAAAAATAACGCTTTTAAAGGTAATGACATCTTCCAGCGGTAAAGTCAACAAGAAGTTTATTATTTTGCAGCGCAAAAAACAAATTTCAAATTGAATGTTGTTTTTATTCTACTTGAAAAAAAAAAACATTTTCCTTTAGGGCTAAAGACAGACGGTCGACTTTTTCTTCCGGAGAAATAGAAGAATTGCAAAAATCACATGATGATTGAAATCAATTCCACTGAAATAAAAATCTTCTTCGCCAAATGAATTGTTTTCCGCAACATTTTCTTTTGCTACGCACCGAAAAGATTCGTTCATATTCATAAATGCCCATACATTTTTGCAACAACAAAAAATGATAAAATCGCAAATTTTTTGATCATCTTTCATGCGGAAACGATATTTCAGCCGCTAAATACCATATCGAGACATAAAACAGCAAATCAACTGACAAAATTACAATCATTACGATCTGGCATTATCAACAACGGAATTGAACATAAAACGACTCGGTGGGAAGAGTGAGCCGCTAAATTATTTTCGTCACAAAAAGTGCATAAAGATGTTCACACTTTGATTTGGATGTTCGCCGGAAAAATAGACATCGATTTATTAAACGAAACCAACAGCAAACTGATTAATTGCCATTGATTTCGAAGTGTGTAGCGTGTTGCCTTCTGTTAGCATATAAATATGCTACAATAAATGACTACCCATAATACACTCTGTGAATATCGCTGTCGTTTGCCGTCGTCGTCGTCGTCGTCGTCGTCGTCGTCGTTGTTGTTGTTGTTGTTGTCAGTTGCTGTGGCAGCGCGTGGAGGCTATTCGACTCTCAGCTTCACTACTTCTGCTCAATGAGAATGAGATGTGTTTATGAAACAAAACACGTGATAATGAAAACGAGTCGTTTCGAAATGGAAATAATGTCAATAAATTTATGTCTAGAATAAGCGCGTTCAATATGAGAGAGGTGTGTGCTGGTGTGCATTGAAATAGCTTTGCACTGGAGTCTTACGGTAATCGTATAATTCGTTGTTGTTGTATATTTCTTGTACTTTTGCATCTTTCCCATGCCAAATCGCGAGCCAACTGAGATGGAGGTAGTGTACTAATTTAAAGAAATCTTTTTTTTGAAAGAGGCGAAAAAAACGGCCATTCAAAAGACTTGTTTGCTTATAAATTTTGAAAAGAATCCGCAACATGCGTGACGGCAATGATGGCAGACGACGATGTAAATCTTATGGATGTAAACAATTGCAGTCGAATTCGGTAAATTGCATTACGATAATTTCACCAATTCATTGGTTGACAATATTTACCTTCAGGTTGAAGCACGTTTAAGCCCATAGGAATCGATCTTTTTTTTCTGCGACAAGATGAAGAGACGAAGAAGAAGAAGAAGAGAAAACAATTCGTTCGCTCCGCTCCGCGTTCTTGAGATTTTAGTTACTTATTCTATTTTGTTGTTTCACAACAAACTATTTCTTGGCCCACTACATGAAATTTATTTCATCAAATTAACTTTGAAGTAATATATTTATTTGCAACAAAGTACAGAAAAAAATTCTCAGTTATTTCAAAAATGAATTACAAGATCTTGGTTTTATTTGTTTTTTGAAATATACTGCCTTTGATTAAAATCAAATAAATAATATGAGCATAGATCTAAAGTCACTTTAATTCTGTTCAAGACCCAAAAAAACTGTACGAAGAAAGCTTGAAATAATGTAATTTAAAAAAAATCATTGCATCATAAAAATTTGATTGGCGCTTTGAGATATTATGCACTTATTTGTCGTTACTGCCGCGGTTTCAAATTAAATAAAAAGTATGACCATAAAATTCAAATTCACCATAATTTTTTTCAGTACTCAAAAAGTATTAAGAAAAAAAATCAGATTAGTAGCTCTACATTTCATGTAGTGCTAAAAAAATGAAAAAATAAAGCGACGATATAAAGATGAATAGCCGCGACAATAAGTGATGAAGAGAGAATGGGTAAATATGGTT